TGGCACACTGGAGTGGAAAAATTCCCACCAAGAAGCAGCTGTTTGAAAGAGAGAAAGAGACAAAGAGTGAGAAAGAACAAAAGAGAGGAGAGAACGAAAGAAAGAAATAAAGAAAGAATAAACGAAAGAAAGGAAGGAAGAAATGGAAAATAAGACCAGTTCCAGCAAACATTAATCCGATTGTTTCTGTCCCAGCTGTCGGAGCCACACAGAAGGCTCTGTGCAGACTGTGGTCTTATTGTCTGTTCCCTGGAGAGCTTCTGAGACCCAGTGATGTTGAGTTCCCGGGACACGAGAACATTGTGACATTTTGCCAAATTTTTCCAGTCTAAAAAAAAAAGAAAAAGAAAAGATTCTTTTGCAGGGGAAATTCTGTGATTGCTGCTAATGAAGGGAAAGATTGGACGAGGAAGAAGAAAACACAGTATCACATACAAATAACCAAGCACAGCCCCGGCCTCCCTCAGGGGCACGTTCCCGAGATGAAACAAGGCTTTCCTCTTCCCAAACAACCCCAACACTATTTTTCTTTTTTCTTTCTTTCTCTGCCTTCAGTCATTCTGTCTAGAATTGGGGCCCTGAAAGGCTAATATGGTGGTGGTGGGGTTGTTGTTTTGTTGTTTGTTTGTTTGTTTGTTTGTTTTGAAGAGGGGATATAGTGGGACAGGATTTCATTTTGTAGCCCATTTTGGGCCTCCAACCTGTGGAAATCCAGCCACACTTCCCTGAATGCTGGGTACTAGTGTAAGCCACCATATCTGGCTTAACAGGCTTTTGTGTTGCTAACTAGGCTATGTTCAATTGACATCTGAAATTGAGAAGCTGAAGCAGGAGGATTAGGAGTTCAAAGCCGTCCTCAGAACAAAGCGTGGTAGAGCTGAATTGAAATCCCAGCACTCAGGCTCAGGCAGGAGGGTCAGAGCTGGAGGCAGCCTGGGCTACAGGAGACTCGGCCTTAAAACAAACAGACAGACAGAAAAGCAAACAAATAAATAAGCTGGGCGTGGTGACACAACACTTTGAATCCCAGCACTCAGGAGGCAGAGGCAGGCAGATTCCTGTGAGTTTGAGAGCAGTCTGGTCACAGAGAGAGTTCTGGAGCAGACAAGGCTACGCAGAAAAACCCTGTCTTGATAAACCAAATAAATAGATAACTATATAAAAATAAAACAAAGCAAATGTTTTCAGAAAAATATTCCTACGAAACCACTCCTAGGTCCTAAAGTAATGAGACCAGAACCATTTTCACCTATTGTAACATAGCCTAGTACTGACTCAGCCAAAGATGCTGTCCCTGACCTCGTTTTGAAATGAAAAGCAAAAATGACGAAAGTGACTGCCATGTGCCGAACTGTCGCCATTTTATCACTAGAGGTAGTTGCAGCTGCTGGGCACTGCCTGTGTCAGTTTCCGTTGTTACCATAAAGTGCCTGAGACGGGGTAAGCACGTTCTTTTTTGTTTTGTTTTGTTTTTCAAGACAGGGTGGCTTCTCTGTAGCTTTGGAGCCTGTCCTGGAACTTACTCTGTAGACTAGGCTGGCCTTGAACTCACAGAGATCCTCCTGTCTCTGCCTCCCGAGTGCTGGGATTAAAGGCGTGCACCACCAGCGCCAGATGGGTAAGCACTTTATAAAGAGCTTTATTTGCCCCACTATTGTGGTAGCTGGAGAATCCAAAGAGCATGCCAGAGTCCTGGTGAGGACATCCTTAACTAGGAATAGCATGGCAAAAGCAAAAGACGGAGGGGATGACCTCACTCTCTAATACCTCATTCCTGTTTTGGTACCTAACCTAGTCCCAAGAGATCTAACCTATTCCTTTGAAGAGGAATATAAATTCCCTCCAGAAGTGTGTCTCTCTGACCTAAAGCACCAGGCGCCAGGCCCACAAGTTCTACCACTTCTTTCTTTGAGTCAGTCTCACGTAGCCAAGACTAGCCTAAAACTTCTGTTCCTCCTGTCTCCACCAACACCCTGAAAGCTAAGGTTGTAAGCAGTTTTATGCAGTTTGGGGCTCAAGCCCCAGACTTTGGGAACACTAGGCAAACGTTATATTGAGCTACATTAGTATACTATTACATAGTATACAGCATCAGTACACTATGTAGTATACCAGTTATACCAACTGAGCTAATTGGTACACTATATAGTATACTATATCAGTATGCCACATAGTATACCAGTTATACTAACTGAGCTAATTGGTATACTACGTAGTATACTATATCAGTATACGTAGTATACTACGTAGTATACCAGTTATACTGAGCTACATTAGTATATGATTATGTATAATACATAGTATACCAGTTATATTAACTGAGCTATATTAGTATACTAATATTGTATACTGTATAGTATGCCAGTTATTCTAACTGAGCAACATTAGTAGTATACTATGTAGTATACCAGTTATACTAACTGAGCCACATTGGCAGCCTCTACCCTGGTATCCATCTAGTGCCAATAGACTTTCCTTGGTGTAGTGATACTTCATTTGTATTCTAATAAATAAAGCTTGCCTGAAGATCAGAGAGTAAAACAGCCGCACTGATCAGCCATACAGACCAGGCAATGGTGACACACACCTTTAATCCCAGTAGCCACACTAGTTTGCCACAGAAACCAGGCGGTAGTTGTGCGTGCCTTTAATCCCAGCCCTAGAGAGGAATATAAATGGGAGGAGACAGCTCTCAGCGCAGTCTCATTCTGAGCATTTGTGGAGGCAGGATCGCCATTTTGGTCTGAGTAGAGGTAAGAGGCAGTAGCTGGATGCTTTGCTTTTCTGACCTTCATGTTGAACCCCAATATCTGTCTCATTATTTATGCTACAGTATGGTGTTAGGTAAATGAAAGCAATGTCATTAATGACTTCACCTGCAGACTGCACGCCCTCCGAGGTGGCAATCATCCTCCTATTCCTCGTTCATTGTTCAATGTCACAGATAATTACTCTGAAGGCTCTTAATAAATCTGTCCAATATTTGCTTAGCTCACAGTCTGGAAGAGGAAGGACCTGGAACTAAACTCCCGCTGCCAGCCTATCCTCCACCGCAGAGCCCCTCCCACACAGACCTCAGCCTGATCCCTCTCTTCAACACACCGCTTCTAGACAGTCTCCATCAACACCTGACACAGGCCTTTGCTACCACTTACTTCAGATGACTGACGGGGCATCTCTGTTAATGAGCACTTAGAATTACAGGGAGGAATCAAGACAAACTGGTGTCTTTCATCTACGGCGAAGGCAACTTAATTATGGCTATGAAAGAGGTTGGGGACAAATTGAACTGTGTCTACCAGTCTGTCTTTAAAACCAGGACAACTCTGTCCCCAGGGCAAATGCCTTTGGTAGGTCTCATGTTCCCAAACACTGGGTGCTATAATCTCAGGAGCCATTTGAATTGGTTCTTATCCGACACAGCCTGAAGTCCCCTGGAACACCCAGCCTGGCCGGGCAGGGGCACCATTTCACAATCAAGGTCATGGTTAAACAGGACTCTGCAGGCCTCTCAAATTAGACCTATCCTAATTCAGACACAGCCTCATGGGAAAGAAAAACCAAGCCTGCAAATTCCTCCCAAGAGGAGAGGGTAAGGGTAGAATAATCTTTTCCATTAAAGCTCATGCAGCCAAGGGGCTGGGAAACTACCAGGGTTCAGTTCCCAGCACCCATACTGGGATGCTCACAACGCACCTGCTCAAGTTCCAGAGGATCTGATGCCCTCTTCTGGTTTCTTTGGCCACCTGAACACACAACACACACACACACACACACACACACACACACACACGAAGATGTACACACGTACACATAAGTAAAATAATACATTAAAGTTAATTGGATGGTATAGTGCTTGCCTAGCATGTAAAAAACCCTAAGTTCAATATCCAGCACCCAATAAATCAGGCATAATGGTGCATACCTATAACCACAGCACTGGAGAGGAGGAGGCAGGAAGATCAGAAGTCAAAAGTCATCCTTAGCTACATCACAAGTTTGAAGCCATACAAGACCTTGTCTTAAAACAATAACAGTGACAAAAATCCCTCATATAGTAGAATTAACCAGACATAAAAGGACTAAGGAGGGGGGGAAAAGGTAGCAGAGGACAGCATCTGGAGAGTCACCTCATGGGTATCCAGCTTTCCAAGTCTCCGAGAACCAAGCTTGCTGCTTCTCTACCTAGCAACCAGTCTGACCAATCAGAGAAACAGCCTGCAAAAAATGAATTGAAGATGCAAAAGCTGAGTTTTCCACGTGGGCATGTGACCTGATGTTTGTTGGTAGAATTTAGAACTGTGACCTCAATGAAGACCAGGCAACAGGTTGCGGGCATGAGACAGAGAGAGAGAGAGAGAGAGAGAGAGAGAGAGAGAGAGAGAGAGAGTTAGAGGGTGGCCCCTTGCGCTTTCCTCCGGACTAGTAAGCAAAAACAAAACATGATTTGTTCCGGAAGGAAGTCATGACTAAAACAGCTTGCTATCTGGGCAAAGTCCCTTTGCTGCAGCCACTGCTGAGTCCCCATCCCCCTCCAGTCCCTGGAGCTCTCTGGCTTTTAGCTTGAGAATCCCCTGCTGGTGGTGCATTAATGAGACACAAGAGGGCAGAAGGGACCCATAGTGAGAGACCGCACACTCCAAACAAGAGATTCCAGAGACAAGGGACAAAATGGTCAAAAACATAAAGCGCCCACAAACGCTTAACGGGGCATAGGTGGAATTCAGAGGCCAGGGTGGGTTGCAAGTCATAATAGTGTTTATATATAATGTATTTAAATTAAGAAAAAATTTTAAATTACACTTATTTATTTGTATGTGTGTGTAACAGTGTGATTGTGGAGGTCAGAGAACAACTGGGTGGGGGGAATCAGGTCTTTCCTTCCACCATATGAGTCCTGGGAATTGAATTTAGGTAAACAGGTTTGGTAGCAAATTCCTTTATTCATCGTGGATCTATCTTACCAGACCCTGAAGAGGTCTGGAAAAAAAAACAAATAGTTAAGTATAGGGAAAGAGGTTTATTCAACTTGACCATATTGGGAAGGGAACAAGTAAATAGGTTCAGTGCCCACCCCCTCCCAAGCCAACTTTCTGGTACTGACAGTTTTAAATTGAAGGCAAGAGGTATATGCATGTTTAATTAAACAGTTCCAACCAAGGCGTGGTCCCTCTCGTTAGTGACTCATCATTGTGTGGGCTCCAGTGTGTCTCCAAGGTGGTCTGATAAGTTTTCAGAAGCTCTTCCCGGGAGATGGTCATCATCCGGATGGCATCAGGCCTTCAGTCTTTTCTTTCCCGGTTATGGGATTCCTGGGGACATTTTAATTCTTTGGACCCCTTTTCTACTCTAGTCTGATACCCAAAGGCAGGGGCACAAACATCTTTTTAGATCAGTGGTTCTCAACCTTCCTAATTCTGCAACCCTTTAATGCAGTTTCTCATGTTGTGGTGATCCCCAACTATAAAATTATTTTCATTGTTACTTCAGAACTGTAATTTTGCTACTGTTATGAATCGAATGTAAATCACTGATAATCAGGATATCTGATATATGACCCCTGTGAAAGGGTTGTTTGACCCTCCCAAAGGGGTGACGACACACAGGTTAAGTATCTCCTCGCCCCACATTAGTTACAGCTGGATGACCTCCAAGCTGAAACCACTGAGCTGAAGACAATGCCTTCTTTATTGCCTCCACCGAGTTCAAGGCACAGTGTGGAATTTTACTCTTGCCGTAAATACACATTTTGTATCTGATTTTCCTAATGCCTGTGGGCAAACTGCTGAGTCACTCAATGAATTGATTCAGTGGCCTCATTGGCAATGGGGCACCAGAATTAAACAGCAGCCTGGGGAACATGATGCCATGAGCCTCCTCACCCTGCTACTCCAATTAGAAACAAATCATTTAAGACATTCAAGCTGAGGAGATGCCTGAGAAGGCAGAAGCCAATCCTTTGGAGTTTTCTCTAAGTTTACTTACTGAACATTCAGAAGGATGACTTTAAAGACTTGGTGAGCTTGGGGTTCAGGTCAAGATCGGCCAGTGACGATCTGTGACCTTGGGCGAGCTTCTTTGTGTAGCTCAAAGCTCGGTGTCTGCCTGTAGCAGCAATTCCCATTCAATCACTATTTAATCCCGACTCTTCTCGGTGAACACTGTCAAAACAAGTTCCATGCCGATGGGCTTTAGCTGTGGCCCTTCCTGCTCCCCTCCAGCCTTTGAGAGCAGGGGCCTGCAACTCATAGTCAAGGTTTTGTTAAACAGGACGTCAAGCAGTCTAGGCTGGCTTTGAATTAGCTATAGTGAAAGGAAATAAAATCAACGCAGACTCCCAAGACCAAGTTCTTGGCATAGAGGAGATTTGTTTGCCCCAGTGGGACAAAGGGCAGGGAATAAGACAGGAAATAGAAGAGGAAGGGAACAAGAGAAAGTGGGATGGTATTATACATACACACACATACACACACACACACATGTTCTTTTGAGACAGGGTTTCTTTGTGTAGCCCTGCCTATCCTGAAACTCACTCTGTAGACCAGGCTGGCCTCAAACTCAGAGATCTACCTGTCTCTGCCTCCTGAGTGTTGTGGGCATGAGCCACCGCGCTGGACTGGGGAGGGATATTTGGCCTGGGAGGGGGACAAAGGAC